AACTCAAAGGCATCGATTCTTCTATGGTCTTCCTTATTCACTGTCCCGCTTTCACATCCATATGAGGTTATTGAAAATACCATGGCTTGGATCAGGCGCACCTTAGTCCTCAAGCTGACATCTCTGCTCTTCAACACTTTAAAAAGTTCCTGTGCAGCAGATTTGCCCAATGATAGGTATAGATGAAATAAAATTGGCCAGGAATTAAAAATTATTGAAGCCGGATGATGGGCACATGGGGGTTCACTATATCATTCTCCAAATGTTTTAAAATGTTCAAAATAAAACATTTAAAAACATCTATTTCTTGTCTATATTTCATTAATATCTTTATGTTCATATCCCATAGATATTAAGGCAAGTACATCTTCCAAATGATTGCACATATAGTTGGATTAATTGATTCTTTGTTTTCTTCATTGTCAATTAACATTACTGTCTTTGTTTTCTTTTTTGATGTGTGTGTATGCGTGCATGTAGGAGATGGTTCTGATCACTTTAAGATTGATGGCAACAGTGGTGAAATCAGAACAACTAGAATCCTGTCGTATGATTATAGACCTTCCTACAGGGTTACTGTGATTGCCAGTGACCAGGGTATGCCTCCCCTTCAAGGACAGGCAGTTATTAATATCCAGGTAATGTTCTGCTCACCATAGAATGAAAATTGGTATTTGCTAGGTTTTATTAGGTGTTTTTTTACAAGTGCACTAAATACATGAATACTCTTTTATGAGAACACTGCACACAAAAGTGTACTTTTTGATTGTTTTTAGAGGAAATGTTGTTGTCAAATGCTGTTGAGTCAGTTCTGACTCATAGAGACCCTGGATAGGGTTTCTGAGCAGCAGCTGGTGGGTTTGAACCACCGACCTTGTGGCTCAAACTGACCTTGTGACCCAGCATATTATCCTGCAGTGCCATAGCAGGACTCATCCAAATAATTTAAAAAATCACATGGTACAGTTGTGCACGAGATATTTACCTTCATAACTATATGGGCATTGATGTTGCTTTGTCTATAATGATGAACAAAATGTGTCTTTTCTTTTGTTGTTGTTGTTAAGTGCTGTAGAGTCAGTTCCAACCCATAGCGACCCTGTATAGGGTTTCTAAGAAGCAGCTGTTGAGCCTGAACCGCCAACCTTTTGGTTCAAACTGATTTTGCAGTCCAGCACATAACCCACAGCACCACACCAGGAGTCTGTCTTTTCTTATACTTGTTCCTAAATTCAAGGACCTGGTAAATTTTCAGGGGAAACTTGTGTGCAAACAAATGGCTATACAATAAATTGCATTGTTTTTGTATTTTTAATACTAACAAAAGTCACCTAAGATCCATATTTTAATACTTTTCTTTAGTCATAATAACAGATGAGTTGTAGGAAGTCTCTATAGTAGAAAAAAAATCACACCAACCAGCCAAAAATCAGATGACTCTGCACAGCTAAAATTTTCTGTTTATGCACATAACAATTAGTTATATGTTTTTGCTATTGTTGTTGTTAAGTGCCATCAAGTTGGTTCTGACTCATAGTGACCCTGTATAGGGTTTCTGAGGAGCAGCTGGTAGGTTTGAATGGCTGACCTTGTGGTTCCCAATCCAGTGCTGATGCTACAGTGCTATACTAGGAGTCCTATGTTTTTGGTTTTAGGCATGTATAATAATCAATGTGTTGTTTTAGTTGTGTGCCACTGAGTCAGCTTTCTGAGAGTGGCTGGTGGGTTTGAACTGCTAACAGTGTGGTTACCAGTCCAATACTTACAGTGCATGATATATATTCCTAAAATTTCTGTTTCCAAATTATAGCATTTATTATTAAAAATTCATGAGTTAGCAGAAAATTCTATATGGTCTCTTGTTTCTAACAAACAAAGATGCATAGTACTTACAATATTCACAGATTTTGTCATTGTATATATCCTCACTGCATATATTGGTCAATGTATATATTGGTTTCTAGTATTAAGAGTAATTTGGACTACTAGCTATGCCATATTCCCACTGAAGAATCACCATGACCTCACCAAACAATCATTTCACATTTTACAACAAATGGGGAATTGTACAATTCCGTAGTTTCTTATTTCCTAGCTATTATGTACTTTTTCATCTCCAGAGACATACTGGGATTATGTCATATGAAAGACATTTGCTTACCAATTAACGTATGTATATTATAAAAATGGAATGAATTCGCTTTCAAAATAATGTCGTAACATGTATTGATACAACTGTTTTAAAAACATCCCAAATTAACAGCGACTTTTAAATTTTTTTTAGGTAATACCACAACCCAAAGGGAGAGCTGTCATTTCCCAAAATATCAGACATCTAGTTATACCAGAAAACTTAAAGCCTGCAAAAATAATGAGCTTAATAAAGTCACCTGACCACCTTCAACAATATCATAGTGGAAAGCTACATTTTAGTATCATTGCAGATGACAAGGATGGCCATTTTGAAATTGACAGCTCAACTGGAGACTTGTTCCTTTCTAAGGGACTTGATTATGAAATGACATCTCATTATCTTTTCAGGGTGGTTACTAAAGACCATAGCAAAAATCCTCCCCAGAACAGCACAGTCTTTCTTAGTATTGATGTGGATGATCAGAATGACCACTCCCCATCTTTCCAGGATGAGTTCATTGTGATAAGTATAGAAGAGAATGTTCCTATAGGTACTCTGGTGTATGTCTTCAATGCCAAAGATGGCGATGGCAGTTTTCTGAATAGTAGAATACAATACTTTATTGAATCCCATCACCCTGGAATGAACCCATTTCTCATCCACCCCTCATTTGGAACATTGGTCACTGCATCCCTCCTTGATAGAGAGAGTGTTCCCACCATCATCCTGAAAATAACTGCATCTGATCAGGCTGTAAATGTGACAGACCGACGACTGAAGTCACTGATGGCGAAGGTAGTGATTTTAGACGTGAATGATCACAGCCCTACGTTCATGTCCTTCCCCACTGCTCAAGTCAAAGAGGATGTCCCAGTGGGCTACGTGGTACACCACATAACTGCTCAGGATCCAGATGAAGGAAGGAATGGAAGAGTCATATACAGCATCCTCTCAGGAAATGAAAATATGACCTTTAACCTAGATGAGACATCAGGTACTGTGCAGAATTTGTCACCTTAAAGTCTCTGGTCACTTGTGTATATTTATCCTTTCATTCCACCACCCCCCACCTTTGTTAAAATGATAAACCAAAAAGCAAACCCACTGCCATTGAGCCTGTATAGGGTTTCTGAGAATGTAAATCTTTATGGGAACAGACAGCCTCATCTTTCTTTCATGGAGCAGCTGGTGGGTTTGATCCACCGGCCAGTGCTCATCCTACAGTGCCACCAAGAAGCATGTACTTTTAAAAAAGTGGACTTGATTTACTTGTAAATCATAAGCCTAGAGGATAAAAAGTCGAATTTTTAATGGTGACTTTGTTTTGTATCTACCTCATATCTATGGTCTGCAAATACAGCAGTCAACATCTTTGCTCCCATTGTGGGTCCTCACAGAGTAGGAGATTAAAGTCAAATAAGCAAACAAAACCAAATGAATTGTAGTCTAGTCAATTCTGACTCATAGCAACCTCATGTGTGCAAGAGTAGAGCTGTACTCAATAGGGCTTTATTGGCAGATTTTTCGTAAGTAGATTACAAGGCCTTTCTTCCAGGGTACCTCTGGGTAAATTCAAACTACTGACGTTTCAGTTAACTGAGCTCTTAGGAACATGACTAACCAAAAGCATTATACAAAGACTTTATGTGTATGCTTACCTTTAAACTCACACAAGCATGCATTTGTAAGTAGCTGGAGACACATATCTTTAAATGACTGGGCTATTTAAACATTTGCTTCTCACATCACCTGTGGTGGTTGTGTGTCATCAAGTTAATTTTGACTTATAGTGACCTTTATATTGTTTCCAAGGCCTTAAATCTTTACCAGAACAGAAAGCCTTGTCTTTCTCCCATAGAGCGACTGGTGGATTTGAACTGCTAACCTTGCAGTTAGCAACTCAACATGTAACCCAATATGCCATCAGGGATCCCATGTCAACTATAACACTCCATTTTTTGCAGACACATTTAGTCACTCATTGCCACATCATTTGTCCTGCTATCACCATGATTCCAGATAGCATCTACTGAAAATCAGATGTAGTTTGATGAAAGATTATATATACAAAGAATCATTGCTATGAAATTGGAATTGAACTTCCCTTTACCTGATTTTCAAGGAATATTAAAAATGAAATGCACTACTATCACATTCTTTCTCTGTCTCTTTTTTTTTTTCCCTTAAACTCAACTCAGCTCCACATAAGCCTTACAAAAACCCTCAGATATATGCCACTTGACCTAACTGCTAGTAAAAGCATTATTTGGAATGGGTTTCAATGTGCTATACTTAGAAGTCATGTTCATAGTCTGACTATATTAAGTTGGAAAACTTCATCAAACTATCCTCAGGTCTGTGTGGACCCAACCTGCATACCTAGCTGATGTAGAGGTAGTCCAGACCAAGTTGTGGATTTCTGTTAGAACCAGGTCTCTCCAAGGGTCTATTTCAGCGACTCTTAAAACATTTTCCAAGATGGTTAAGGAAAGTCTATTTCTGATTGTCAAAGATGATGGATAAAATTAGATTGCATCTCAGTGATAATGGTATCATGAATCTTGAAAAATTGCATTGACTATTTCAGTTGAGACATTGTTCAAAGATGTAAAGCAATAATTGCTTAATGCATTTGTATGAGACAGGTCATTTTTTCTTTCACCAAGGCTCACATATATCTTATATGTGGGTTTTTCAATGGCTGTGAAGGATAAAGTGGTGAGTAATTGTTAACAATATTTTGAAATCCGAAATTTTAATTCTTATTTAGTTATTTAAATACAAACTCTTATAGGGTAAGCTTGTTTTAGAGACACAAATAGCAAACCAAAAAAAGTGACAATTAGAATAATGTAAAAGTTGTGTGTGTACAAGACTTTATCACATTTTGCTTATGTGAGTTACATGTTTAAATGGAAGTTGACTGGAGATCCGTTTTATTCATGATTGTCTGAATCATTAAGTCTTTGCTCTTTATTGTTAATAAAAGACACTTAACTGAAAGTAAGTATAGAGACTCTTCAAGAAAAAAACAAATACATTTAAAGAATGCAACCATACATATTTTTATTCTTATTTATATGATGTTAGTTTCCTGGCAGTGGTGGTGGTGTTATGCCATGGGGTTCTGACTCATAGTAAGTGACCCTATATAGAGTTTCTGAGGCTGTACATTTTTAGAGGAACAGAAAACCTCATCTTTCTCCCTCAGAGAGACCAGTGGACTCAAACTGCTGGTTTTATGGCTAGCAGCCCAATGCATAACCCCCTGCACCCCAGGGCTCCTTGTTAGTGTCCGAAATACCTTTTCAGATCAAGGCAGACACTAGAAGATATATAATTGTGTTGTAGCACTCTCGGTATATAATGGGATAAATTATTTCTGATTTATCTTTTGTCCTTAAAATGCTATTTGAGATGCCTTTTCTTACTAGTAATGCTCTTTTTTTGTTCTAGACAACATATTAATTTAAAGTTGACTAAATAAGGTTTATTGTTTGATAGTTAAAGCTCCCACCAAGTTCTTATCAAATTATATAAGTTAGACTTAGGTAGAGTAAGCATGATTTCACTAAAGAATATTCAGTATATGTGGTTTTTCTTCTCTTTCTAAACAGGCCTACTAACTACAACATGTTTTTTGGATCATGAAATCAAAAGACAATACATTCTGGCCCTTCTGGCAAAGGATGATGGCATACCTGCACTTTCTTCATCCCAGACCTTGACAATCACTGTACTTGATGTAAATGATGAGCCACCAGTATTTAAGCAACACCTGTATAATGCTTCAGTTAAAGAAAATCAGAATCCCGGAGAGTTTGTTGCTAGGGTGGAAGCTATGGACAGAGATTCAGGTAATTTAAAAATATGGAAATTATGCAGTTAATGCTAAAAAAAAAATACAAAAATACAAAATTCAAAGATCACAATTAATATAATTTAAACTAGCTATGGCCCAGGGAAATGAAAGCAAATGCAAATTATGTCAAACTCTGTATACTTCTTTATGTTGTTGTTGTTGTTAGGTGCCATTGAGTCGGTACCAACTCATATCGAACCTGTGCATAGCAGAATGAAACACTGCCTGATCCTGGGCCAACCTCACTATTGTTGACATGCTTGAGTCCATTGGTGCTGCCACCTGGCCAATCCATCTCATTTGGGGTCTTCCTCTTTTTCTCTGACCCTCCACCCTACCAAGCATGATATCCTTCTCTAGCTACTGGTCCCTCCTGACAATATGCCCGAAGTATGAGAGGCGAAGTTTGTCCATTCTGGCCTCTAAGGATCACTCTGGCTACACTTCTGCCAACACAGATCTGTTGGTTATTTTGGCACCCCATGACACTTTCAATATTCTCCTCCAACACCATAACTCAAATGTGTCAATTCTTCTATGGTCTTCTTTATTCACTGTCCAGCTTTTACATCCATATGAGGTTATTGAAAATACCATGGCTTGGGTCAGGCACACCTTGGTCCTCAAGCTGACATCTTTGCTCTTCAACAATTTAAAAAGGTCTTATACAGCAGATTTGCCTAATGCAATACGTCGTTTGATTTCTTGACTGCTATTTCCATAAGTGTTGATAGTTAATCCAAGAAGAATGAAGTCTTTGACAACTTCAATCTTTTCTCCATTGATAAGAATGTTGGTTATTGGTCCAGTGGTGAGGATTTTTGTTTTCTTTACATTGAGATGTAATCCATACCGAAGGCTGTGGTCTTTGACCTTCATGAGTAAATGTTTTAAGTCCTCTTCACTTTCAGCAAGCAAGGTTGTATTACCTGCATATCGCAGGTTTTTAATGAGTCTTCCTCCAATCCTGATACCACATTTTTCTTCATAGAAGCCAGCTTCTAGGATTATTTGCTCAGCATACAGGTGAATAAGTATAGTAAAAGAATACAACCCTGTCACACACCTTTCTTAATTTTAATTCATTCAGTGTTCCCATGTTCTGTTCGAACCACTGCCTCTTGGTCCAGGTACAGATTCCTCATGAGCACAATTAAGTGTTCCAGAATATTCATACTTTGCAATGTTGTCCATAGCTTGTCATGATCCACACAATTGAAAGCCTTTGCATAGTCAATAAAGCACAGGTTAACGTCTTTCTGATATTCTCTGCTTTCAGCCAGGATCCATCAGATATCAGCAATGACATCCTTCATTCCATGACCTCTTCTGAATCTGGTTTGAATCTCTGGATTTTCTCTGCCAATGTATGCTTGCAGCCGTTTCTGTATTACCTTTAGTAAAACTTTACTTGTGTGGGATATCAAAGATATTGTCCTACGATTTCCGCATTTTGTTGGGTCACCTCTGTTTGGAATGGGCATAAATACGTATCTCTTCCAATCAGTCAACCAGATAGCTGCCTTTCAAATTTCTTGGCAGAGATCAGTGACTGTCTCCTGTGCTGCCTCACTTTCTTGAAAGATTTCAGTTTTTATTCCGTGGACTTCCTCTTTCAGTATCATTGGCTCTTGATCATATGCTACCTCTTGAAACTGTTGCACATCAACCATTTCCTTTTGGTACAGTGACTCTGTATTCCTTCCACCTTCTTTTGATGCTTTCTGTATCATTCAATAATTTGCCTAGAGAATCTTTCAATAATGAAAGTTGAGACTTGAATTTTTTCTTCAGTTCCCCCAGCTTGAGAAATGCTGAGTGTGTTCTTTCTTTTTGGTTTCTGACTCCAGATTTTTGCATATTTTGTTGTTATATTTGGCTTTATCTTCTCAAGCTGGTCTTTGAAATTTTCTTTCCAGCTCTTGTACCTCACTCTCCAGTGTAGATATGCTAAAGCAAATGGAAGAAAATACTTGTTTATATCACATAAAAATGCATACACAAGTCAAGATAGCACGTGCTTCCATATCATTTGATTGCATTGACCTTATTATTATTCATGCTGTGTTGTGCTGTTTAGTGCTCTTGAGTTGGTTCCAACTCACAGTGACTCTCTATGGGTTTCTGAGGAACACATGGTGAACTTGAATGACTGACTTTGCAGTTTGAACTGACCTTGAAGTCCAGAGCATTAACCTGCAGTGCCACTGGACTCCATTATTATTCAGAGCGGTTGTTGTTGTTAAGTGCCATTGAGTCAGTTCCGACCCATAGTGACCCTGTATAGGGTTTCCAAGGAGCGACTGGTGAATTTGAACCATTTAATTAGTATGCAAGTTATTGATCTAATCTTGATGGTAAACAGAAGTATAGACAAGTACCCCATTATTTTCAGAATCCGCTATTTATGTACACTGAGTATAAGAACATAACTCAGTCTTTATTACCTGTATAAATAGCATAGTGTGAGAGTTAGAATTCTGGTGCTACCGTTGCTAACTTTGTTGTTGTTGTTAAGTGCTATCAAGTCGGTGGTGACTCATAGCAACCTTGCATAGGGTTTCAAATGAGCTGCTAGTATGGTTCAAGCTGACCTTATGGTGTAGTACTTACCAAGATTCCTATAAAGAAATTATTAAACCTCTCTGTGCCTACTGGCTCATCTGTAAAATGGGGATAACAGTATTACTTAATTTATAGTTGTTTTATGTGTTTGAAATGAATTGTCACATGCAAAGAGTATAGCTCAAGGTCTGGAACAATAAATGCTCAATAAATGGTGATTTCTATTATTACTATTGTTAGGATTGTTAATAACAACTTCTAGGTCCAGACAGATAAATTTAAAGTAACAAGTTATGGTGGGTATAAATTTTTAGACTTGCTTTTTAATATGTCTGTAGCTCTTTGATCCCTGGTATGACACTATTAGATAAGCACTGGACTGGTAACTGCAATAGCATAGTTCTTTTGGCATTTAAGTTTCAGGTGCTTTAATGTTCTGGTTTTACTTTAAACAAAATAATTACAATTATTTCAGTACAGTTTTTTTTTTTTTTTGCAAATGGGGGCAGTGCTGGCTGCATGGTAGAATTCTTGTCTTTCATACAGGAGACCTGGGTTTGATTTCCAGCCGTGTACCTCATATTCAAATGTCACCCGTCTATCATGGGAGGCTTATATATTACTATGAAGCTAAAGGTGCTTCAACCGAGCTTCCAGACTACAGCAGACTAGGAAGAAAAGCCTGGTGAACTAATTGTAAAAATCAGCCATTGAAAATCCTATGGATCACAAAAGTTGGCTTCTATTGTGCATAAGGTGACGATTAGTCTGAATTCATCTGGACAACAGATAACAACTTCAACAATTTAGTATTAATAACATATGTTGAATTTTCCCATCTGTATTGACATGGATAATTTAATAAGCCCAAATTTTGAATTCACAGTTGTATATAGCAAGTAGAGTCCTGGTGTAGTGCTGTAGGTTAAGCACTAGACTGCTTACTGCAAGGTTGGCAGTTCAAATCCACCAGCTGCTCCTTGGAAACCCAATACAGAGTTGCTATGAGTCAGAACCTACTTGATGGCACTTAACAGCAACATATACAATTGGATTACATATTAGTGTAATATTTTGTCGTATTCTTCCAAGAATAATAATAGAAATTTCCATGGAAACAGTAGCATTCACAATAGCATTTCCCCCCTAAACTGTTAAATCATTAGGGTAAAAGATGCGTTACTTGAGTTTTAAAACGAAATTATATACCATTTGGATGCTTTGTCTTTTGGGGAAGCATCATCTTTTAATGAAATACATTTAACATGAATTTGTATATGTTGCTATGAACTCTTTCAAGCAGTAACCTAATTTTCTCTCTTTGACCAGAGTGGGGCAGTATGATCAAAGAGTTTTTCTAAGTATGCTCAAAGACACATGACTGGAGTTTGTTAACAATTGTTCCAACTGTTGCTGGAATCCTCTACTTAGCACATTCCCAGCAATATCATTTTTAAAGTAATAGAAACAATATAGAATATACATGAACTTTGTGTTTTATCATAATATCAGTTCAGGAAAGTTCTCTTAGAATATTTTCTGTTGTAAACTGAGCAAGACAGGGCAATATAGAAACTACTTCCCAAAGTATAAAAACATGTATTGTACCTACCACTGATGTGATGCTAAGGTATATAAAGGGAGTTCTGGTGTGGCGCTCTGAGCTAATTCAACAGACTGCAAAGTCATTTGAACTGCAAGGTCGATAGTTGAAGCTCACCAGCTGCTCCTTGGAAACCCTATACAGGGTCACTAGGGATCGGAATTGACTCAGTGGCACTTAACAACAGCAACAACAACAAGGTATATAGAATGCTTCTCCTTGGGCATAATTTTTTTTATGAGCTTTCTTTCTTGTAGTGGATTCTGCTGGAATGATTTTCTTTACTCCAATGTTTAAAGAGGGAGGAAAGAGTTTTTCTTATTTTTTTTGCATACATCAACTAAAGTCGATTATCATAAATTCACTCTTCTTACTTTTACTTCCAAGTTGCCTAGTGTTAGTGTTGAAACCATTTCAAATGAATGGTTAGTAACCTGTTACTTATACTTCTTATAATTAAATAGAAAGATAGCTACTTTAGAGATTATAATGCTGCCTAAGAATTTAGATGCAAAAATTGTTTTCTCCAGCTTTGCATTTATGGATGTTCAGAAAATAATACATTAGCCTCTTCTTCAGTCACATGTTTTGAAGATAATTTTGATTAACTGAAAATCTCAGTGTTTTTAATGAGGACAGATTCATTAAGCAAGTGGTTGTATGAATTTGCCTGTACCCGCGTGTTTTTAACGTATTTTCCTTCAGTCATTTTTTTACCCCCTTCTGCTGGCTGGGTTAAAACAATGAAAAAGGATTATGCATGAGAATTAAATGACGTAGTCAAGATTTTAACATAACTGGCATCAACTAGTAATTTATGAATGGTG